GACAAAAGTGACCCATCTTTTCTATATGGATGACATCATGTTATTCGCCTCCAGTCGCTGCCATCTTATGGAATTGCTAAACATCACTTGCGAATTTAGCAATTCTATTGGAATGGAGCTGGGGACGGATAAGTGTGCGGTCCTCCATGTTGAAAGGGGAAGGGTTGCTAACTCTGAGGGCATAGACTTATCTATGCCCGTCAACTTAAGGACTCTTTCCGAGGCTGAAACATACCGATGCTTGGGTATGTCACGAGAACATCAGTATTGATGAGGTTGGTATGAAACAGTCAGTTTGCGACGTGTTTTATGCACACTTGACCAAAGTGCTTAACAGCCTTTTGTCCGGTGTGAATGGAGGTGGGCAAAGTGTATCATTTTTGCTATTGGAACATTTTCACTCGATCACTGAAATGTTCCGAAACACTGATAATGTTTCATTTGGCTCATTTGGATCATTGACTCAAAAGATATAAAATACAGAATGTTACGAATACATTAAGTTGCGTCGCGGGCGTTTGTTACTGACTGATTCAGTGAAAACCTGATGTGATTCTCTATCAATAACCCACAATAATAATAATAATGTTTGATAAATCACAACCACTTATGTTAGAAGTATGAGAATTATTGTCACTTAGTCTGTATTTGCTTTTGTCTTTTAAATGTCGCTGTGATAATAAGTTTCCGAAACAAAAGAAAAAAATTCACACAATTACAAGTAGTTTAGTTTACGACGGGCTGTTTGTGGGCACGTCTAAGCGCGTATTTTCCGTGTGGGTAGGAATAATGTGGTTATTCGAGCCATGATATTTCCCCGAAGAAGTTCAACAGTCCTTTGATGTTGCAAGCAACTTCGGGGAGCGATCCCGGCGTGCCGAGATGTTTAGCCTGTATGAAGCGACTTCTGGACATGTCAGCAACACGTGAGCCGCCGTTTCTTCCTCTCCAGGAGGGGGCTATCAGTAACACCTTTGGTGAACAAATGTTTAAAAGAGCCATGTTCTGTGATAGCACTTGTTACTATCTTGATCTGTGGCTTGTTTAGTCTCATTAGAACCTTGGTTAGACGACTGTTTATTTCAGGCAGGGCCTCCCTAGCTTGTCTACAGTCTACTAAATTTTTCCAAAGTTGAGCGTGTAAATTATTGAAGTATCTACATACCAGTGAACGAACGTAGCCAAAGGGGATTGGTATTATATGTTCCGGCCCCATACTTGCCAGAGCCGATCCCCTTCTGGCCAGTTCATCTGCTGCATCGTTGCCTCTAGATCCACTGTGTCCCTTGATCCATTGCAGAATCACATTGTTGTGCTTACATACTTCATTCAATCGTTGATGGCAATCGTATATCAGTCCCGAGTTCGCCACATTGCAACTCAGAGCTTGTAGTACCGCCATACTGTCGGTCAGTATTCTGATGGAGAAGTCTTTCACCTTCCTAGCATCTATTGTTATGGCCGCTTGGATGATACCCGCTGGAAGACTGTCTTATGGGTACCCAGCAGTGTGCATATGTGGATATTAAGGTCTTCAGAGAAAGCCCCAGACCCCACACCTTCATTTGTCTTAGAACCATCCGTGAAAACTCTGAGCTCTTTTGGTCCCAATCCTTCCAGCTGATCAGTTTCCTTCAATTGTATCCTGTACTTCTTATCGAATACAAATTGTTTAGGGATCCTATCATTCTTGACTTGTAAGATAGGAATTTTTGAGTAAATTCTATCAATTATACTTGTATGGGGCTCTACTCTTGCCTAAAAGATTTAGGGTCTTGAGTCTAATGGCAGCTAAAGTTGCTTCTTGTTGTATATGTAGATACCCCATCATTTGCCAATCATGTTTCTGCATTGCCAGAAAGTTAAACTAGCTTTGTTGATTTTGTTTTCTATGTGTTTATTTCAGTTAAGTTTACTGTCCGAGGTAAGACCTAAGTATTTGGCCTCGGAGGATAGTCGGAGTTTTGTGCTGAAAAGACTTGGGAGATGATAGTTATTCGGCATTAATCGATTTTGTGTGAACATTACTAGAACCGTTTTGTTTGAATTAACGGTTAGGTCATATTCCCTGCACCTTCTCATCTATCTAGATCTAGGCGCACGAGGTGATCGACAAGTGGGGTGGTTTGGCCAACCGAAATTGAACCGAACCGAAAAAAACTGGTCAGTTTCTCGAGTAATCTGCGGCGACTAGGAGTCCGTGACGCGGACCGCTCCAGGCTCAAATGCAGAAGGCGGTGCTCCTGGATATCGCCCACATCGTCGGTCGGTTTCTTTCCCTTTTACCCTAACCCTCGGTCGTTTGGTTTACCCTGCTGAGGGTTTTGCTTTGATTTATTTATGTTGGTATATTTATTATATACAGGGTACTCATTTGGTTGGGCTGAATAAATATATAATACGAAGTGTTAGTGTAAACACCGTTGTCCTTGAAACCATTGGTTTGGTTTCACTTATAGAACGTAAATTCAATGAAAAATAACAACATTTTTTAGTAAAATCTCAATTTTTCCTTAATTCCTCAATTTTTGCCTGTCCTAAGCCAGGATGAAAGTATGAAGGAAAAGTTACATCAGAAACAGAAACTTTTTTATTCAATGTAGATTATAAACAATACTTATTGAAAGTCAATTTTTTCATTTACCACTGGTTCGCAAAAAAAAACCTCTGTCCTGGGAAGAACCAGCAAGAAACCCAGCGGGACAATTTTTTTTTCAAATAATAGCTTACAATCATGTTTACAATTAACAACACAACACAAATAGAATAGCTTGGTAGCGATCACCCTTCCCAGGGATTACTATCATCCATAAATTCCTTATTATAATAACCCTTTTTATACAAACTTAGTTTAATAAAATTTTTGAACTTTGCGTATGACAAATTTTGTATATTTTCTGGGATTTTGTTGTAAAAGCGTATACATCGCCCCAAGAATGAATTAGTGACTCGGTGGAGTCGTGTAACTGGTACTACTAGCTTGTGTCTGTTCCTAGTATTTACAGAATGAATATCACTTATTTTTGCATAATTACGTTTATTCTTGTGTACGTACATTACATTTTCATAAATATATTGAGAGGCCAGAGTTAATATATTAATTTCCTTAAGTTTTTGTCTCAGTGACTCTTTTGGTTTTAAATTATTATTGCTCCAATGGTTCTCTTCTGTAAAATAAATATAATTTCAGTGTCAGTCGCGTGTCCCCATAGCAAAATACCATACGACATATGGATATCACTAAAGTAAACTATTCTTGCTGTTTCAACACTGGTAAGAGTTCTAATCTTTTTTACAGCATATGCTGCAGAACTAAATCTGCTAGCTAGTTTTGATATATGGGGGAGCCATTGAAGCTTTGCGTCCAGTGTGATTCCAAGAAAAATGGTGGTATCAACAAGACTCAGTTCTTCCCCATTTAAAATTACATTCGTATTAACATGTTTGACATTAGGAGTTACGAATTTCATACATTTAGTTTTAGTTCCATTTAAATCACAGGTTATGTGTACCTATTGTGTTTTTATGTTGAATGTTGTGTAGGTAGCTTGCGCGGGCGGTGATCTTTACAGTACTTACGTCACTCGGGCGCATAGGGTATCCATGAATTTGCGGACGGTGTCGGACAGAAACTTTAAATTTTATGAAAGAAAATAGCATTTTTTTAATTCATTGAATTCACGTTCTATAAGTGAAACCAAATCACTGGTTTGAAGGACAACGGTGTTTACACTAACACTCCGTATTTAAGTATATTTATCATTTCCTTTTATATATTTATTCAGCTCAACCAAATAATAATACTCTATAAAATAATAATTTTGTTCATGTCTGACTATTAAAAAATGCCCAAAGGCAATAAGACGGCAAAGTGTACATTTTCTGTGCAGTATAGATATTTAAATAAAAATAATATTAATGTAACATTACTTACTACGAGTTAATTTCAAGTTCGCCGTCGTCGACTATTATGATATAACAGCTGACTGTACGGTAGACGAAAAAGTCATCACGTTTATCTATCATATCACATAAACTTGATGACTGATGATTTTTTTGTCAAATAGAGTAAAACTAAGTAAGCAGTTTGTTGTCCTGTACACAGAAATTGATAGCATACAAGTAGATAAAATACATATTATAAAATAATTTATTTAGTCAAGTGAAAAAATAGGAAAATAGGGAAGTCAGTGAATAGGAATGTGTCCGATACAATTATAAAATATTGTAATTAAAAAATTTATAGTTTTATTTTACATTTAAACATTTCAAATACGTTAAATATTACGAAGGCGCTGCTATCAGTATTAGTAGGGCGACGCTTGAGGCGCGAAGTGAGGGAACGCGGCGGAAGGTAACGGCAATCTTGGAATGAATAAGTAGTAATTTGGAAAGTTTTGAACAAAGCTGTGTAAAATCTCCAAATGAAGTAACATTATCTCTATATCTTTATATTATATTTTATGCTCTCTATATATTTTTAAATCTTAGAGCTAAAAAATCAGTGTAGAAAAGGTAGTAGTTATATTAAGGATTACTTGAAAGGTAATAATAATGTGATTTATTATATTCGTTAATTGATAATGATCTTCATCTGGTTTGGTGAAAATCTCTTAACTATTTCTGTAGCAATGTTATGTTTTAGTTTGAATAGTGGGAGAGTACTTTTTGCTTGTTGCATATGTCCATAACTTGCAGTAACCCATTCCCATCATGAATTTGAAAAGAACCTGAGGATGATGATTACTTGTAAACTGTTCTTAAAATAAATATAAAGTTTATTTGTGATGTAAGTATAAGTAGTAAATTAATCAACTGATTAAAAAAGTATGATGGAATGATAGTTGCGTAAAACATATTTATTCTATTATATCTTCTTTTCCTGACAACACTCAAGGCGATGTGATGTGGTTATAGATTATTTTATGTTCTGCTACTAACATATCTAATATGACCATGAAATATAAAATTATGAAAAAATACATATTTATTTTTTATAGGTAAGGGTGGAAAAGGTAAATCTGCAGATTCACCGGAAATCACTACTCCAATAAGAAAGGTAATTATTACATCATTGTATATATATATATATATATATATATATAATATGTAACGTAATTAACGCACACCCTCAGACACCCCAATTAGTATATTATGTTATAATCATAATACATACACTGAATTTTTAGTTAAACATTTTTATGTACTGATTATTTGGTTTAGTTCATTTTTCTTTATTTTTATTGAATGACAGAATAATTAGTAATTATACAAATAAAACTGCACTATTAAAAGTCTTATTGCCTTAAGGTACGGTCCATTTCAGTTCGTTTTGACTGTACAGATTTAGTGTGACTGTACTTTACGTAGTTTTAATTATTTTTGGGATAAAATTTACCTATATTAAAAATGCAGTAAACGATTCTGAACAAACTACTTTCTCAAAGTGCGTTAATTATGTTACGTGTTATATATATATATATATATATATATATATATATATTTTTTATATATATATATATATACCAAAATATTATTTAGAATTTGTATGTATTTTATATATAAAATGTTGTATATTGTTTCAGATGAAAGAAAAAACAAATTATAAAGTGCACATATTAGTGCAAGGATCAAAAACAACTTTAAATCAGTCAACAGATGCAGCTACAACTGCATCTACAAGTCGTGCAGGCTCCGAATCTGCTGAAGAAAAAACAGAAAATACCCAATCTGCAACAACGGCTATATCTGTTAGCACTCCTACAATATCTATGAGTGGTGTATATTCATGTCATGCATGTTCATTTACTACGACTCGTCTAAATGTTCTTATAATGCACAACAAAACACACAGTGTAACATTTACACCATACACACCTTCACCTGTTACGAAAAAAATTACAAAATTAAAAAACACTTCAACTTCATCAAAGACTCCTAAAATTCGTAAACCGAAGCAAGAAAAAAAAGAGGAGGTAAATAAAAATGCTCATGCTCAAAAACGTTTATCACAAGAAAAACCAGTTGAACATTTAATTAAGAAGGTGAAAACTGATGAAGAAATTAAAAGTAGTCTATTAGCAGATTGGGACGACGTAGATGAGGAATCAAATGATGTATCAACAATGACGATGGCTGGATCTCCTGAAGTACCTGTAGGAGCCGAATCTCCCGCAGTGCCAACGCCAGCAGAATTACCTAGTGCACAAATCCCTGGAGAAATGTCGTCGTTACCTTTACACAAAAAGTCGGAAGAAACACCACCAGCCGACAAACCGGAGTCCTCTAGTGATTCCAAGTACGAATTTTGTGAGGATGAAGACTGGTCCTTAGAAGCTGATGCTGGAAGAAAAATACCCCGTGTTAAAAATCCATCAAAGCGTAAAGAAGATTTAAAAAGTCTTAGTATTGATGATGATGATGTAGCTAAGGAAGTTACTGAACTGCTTAATAAGACAGTTGTGCCTGAATTACCATCGATCCCAGAACCATTAAAAGTGGAAGAAAATTTTCCAGAGCTTTCGATTGCGAAATCCCCAGATAAAAGGAATGATCCAAACCTGAATGCAAAATCGTCTGAAATAAACAATTCGCTAGAAAAAAAGGATGTTACTGAGCAGCCTCCAAAAACAATTTTTAAAACAAAAACATTTTTTCGAAGTCGACATTCGAGAAGTCAAGATGCAATAGGAAAGTATGTAGCCGAACAGTTAAATGCCGCTGAAAGAATGGATATATCAGAAAGTGAAATTAATGGTACAGATGTTGCCTCTTCACCTGAAGCTAGAGAATCGCCACCAGTTGAACAAATTAAAGTGGCTCGCTTGGCTCCTAAGATACAACTAAAAAGGATGAAAGCTGAAGCGGCACAACAACGGGAAAAAGAAAGATATATATTGGAGCAAAATAAAGAAAGTACTTCAAACGGCACAGTATCGACGACAGGTGTAGTGGCAATAATAAGTAACGACTTCTCAGCAGAAAATAATTATACCAATGAGCTTTTAACGGATAGGCCAATGCATTCTGCAAATAGTATAATGAAAGTAAATAAAATAAGAAATGATACATCTGAATTAGACGATATCCCAGAAATTAAAAAGATTTTAGGGACTACATTATATTGCACAACTAGTATAAGTAAAAGTGATAAACGTGATGAAAGTATGAGTAAAAATTTGAGAGAGGAAATTATCACGGAAGTGATGAATACTGATAAGGATACAGTTTGTACTGAAGGAGAGGGAAATGGTATTGACAGTGTAATGAGTGATTTTAGAAATAAAAAAGAAAACGAGCTACAAATAACTCCTAAGCCATCAGTGGAATCGCAAGCCACTGAGACAACTGCAACAGCCGTAGATGCTTTACTTAGTGTTTCTAGAGAAGCTGACAGTGTAACTAAAGTTATCAGTGATGACCCACCAGAAGATTTGTTTGAGGATGATATCAGAGATAATACTATTGTTAGCAATGTTAATGGTTATAATGAAATTAATAAGGAAGGAAAAAACAAAAATGAGGATCTGTTCCAAGAAAATATCCATGAGCACAAAAATATGAAAACAGAGAGCATAGTTGAACAAAATATTAACAGCGATAATGTTACAAACGTAGCTAAAAATGTAGAAAATAAAGACAAAAGTATAATGAAATACGAACAGCAAAATAATATCGCACAAATAGTTGCTGATAATGCTCCGACTGAATCCGACCTTCAAATAGCGGAGGCATTAATTAATTTGCCCTCAACGGCCATACAAAATAAAGCCTTTACTCAGCAACAAGATACAATACCTACTATTGAAATTAAGCCACTTACAAAGACCCCCGAAAATGAAATGTTTGTAGATGAAAATGTTAAATCCGATAATATAAAAGACTTAACAATAAAGGAATCTGTCGTGGATTCTAATATTTTGGCTAACAATGATAATATTGCTCGTTATGAAACCGAACAAGAGAAAAGTGAAAATCTTAACGCCGCTCAATCTTTGGTACAGATGTCAGAGTCGATTGATCACAAAATTAATTTTGTTGAAATCAATTCAGAAAACAAAGGAGAAGTCGACCTTAATATTAATGAATTAAAAAAGGGTGATATATCTGAAATCACCGTGGAACAAAAATTAGCTCTACTATCCAATGAATCTAACATAGAGCAGTCGAATGGTAAGACAGTCCCATATGAAACCACTTCGTCGAAGTTATTGAAAATATTGGAAGAACCCACTGCGGCAAAAGTGTTATCTAATAAGACTATTGTGTCGAAACAAGTTATTATGCCGGGAAAAGAGAAAATTTTAAATTTTGACGTGTGCAATCAATCAATGCGGGGTAAATCGCAGTCGCCTAAACAAAAAATTATTATCCGTCGAACTACGTCTAACAAAAACCTATTGAATAATGTTAACGAAGTATCGAGTGTTGATAAAATTATTTTATCCCGAAGTAATAAACCTGTCCAAGATGGTTCTTCTGTTCAGACATATACTATACAGACATCTCCGGAGGCGCCATCTGACGCAAACACAATAATTATACAACAGAAAATCAGAAAAATGTCTAAACCATCACCAAAAATCCCGAAAATAAAACCTTCAACATCTCTCGTTGCACATGTAAAAGAAGCAAAGGCTATTACTGAAATCGCGACTAACGAAGAACAAGTATTCGATATAAATTCTATGCCAGTAGTGTTATCTGATGATATATTAACGCCGGAAAGTATAGAAAAAATGCCGATTGTTATGACCGATGGCAGCATTATAACAAATTCAACCATTCCACCAAAACTGGTGAAAACTAAATCAAACGTTGTTGAAAGCGAAATCTGTAAAGTTACTGTAAATCCTGTAACAACTAAAGCAGAAATTAAAACAATTTTGATGAACCCATGTAATGAAAGTAGTAAAGTCACAACTCCTAATATTCTTTCGAAATCATCAAAATTACGTGGTGCAAAGCCTATGTTAGTGATAGATAAAGCTACTGGCAAACAAAAAATTATTATGTCGAAACCGGAACCTGTTGTCAAAGAAGTTAAACAACCCACCACAACTCTTATACAGACTGTTCCACAAGGCGGAGGTAAAGCAGAGAAGTTCATCATTTTGCCTACACCTACCTCGCCTCGTCCTAATCGAACACAAAAAATAGTAATAGATCCTCAAACAGGTAAAGCTCATGTGCTTGTTGGAAAGGGCCCCGAGATGACTTTGGGTGTATCAGAAAATAAAACTGTGTCTGCGAAATTAATACCACAGTCATCGGATAACAACACTCCTGGCAACACTGTAATGATCATAACAAATTCTCAAGGAGGGCAGTCGAAAATTATCTTAACACCAGAACACGAAAAGATTTTGTTTCCCAATAAAACGAACGTGTCACAATTAAAATCAGTGACTCATCGTATAACGACGAATTCGGTGATTCAACAAAAAACGGTCGTTTCAACGGTAACTTCGGCTTTAAAAGGCCAAACTAGAATTGTGCCGAAACAGAAAAATACAATTATTACCTCTAAAGGTCAGCTGATAGTTGGGGGACGTGTTACTACCACAACGCAGAATATTGCTCCAATGCCAGAAATACGTCCAGCTTTAAAGCGTATAGTTCCGGCTGAGCCTAAGAAAATTATACAGACAATTCAAAAAGATGCACCAGAGCCAATAATATTTTTCCAACGTAAATCAGGTGCTGTTATGCAATTGACCCAGGCACAATTTGAACATTTACAAAGAACGGGTCAGTTAATACATAAAACGGGCCCTGCGCACGAAAATAAGATAGTTATTCAAAAATCTATAACTATTCCCGCTAGTGAACCATTAGCAATAAATACACCGAAACAAAGAGCGAGGAAAGGAGCAGTTGATTCTCAGACACCTATGAAAAAGGCTAAACAGGAAGTGCCCATAGCGCCTGCACCTGGGCCTGCTTCACCAATGCCGGCTTTAACTTCTTTATCTCACACAATTTCAGCGACCCTACAAACAGTCCCAAGCACAACTTCTGTAGCATCAGCCTCTAACTATCCCGATTTAGAAAACTTCGAAGAGCTTTTGCCTTCTACGGCAATTGCACGACAGCCAGAATCAGTGTTAATACAACCCGAACAGCCTATTGCGCCTCCTCAGGCGGCGATCTCCGACGGTCAACTGCTGGCAGTTCCCGGTGAACATTTCGGAGGATTACCAGGTTCATTCTATCTTTGTGTGGAGGACAACGGGAATTACACGATAGTGGATAATCGTCCATTAATGTTAGAAAATAATCAACTTGTTCCTATGGCGGAACCTGTACCTGTCATAGCGCCACAACCGGAGCGAAGGGACATTCTGGAGGCAGCACTCGCTAATAGTGATGTATTTCATGCTGAGACCGTCCGTGATGAAGCTCCAGATTTTAGAGACTTAAACGCGAATGTTTCGGTTCATTGTCGCGTTTCGGAAACGAGCACCACTTTGAATCAACCAATAATGACGCCGGTAGAGGTACCGACGAAGGCAGATGCTGAGCCCGCGGTGCCGTCGAATTTGGAAGACGGTCTCGCAGTGATCGGAGTTACACCGCAGACTGTACCCACGTCGCTTGAGTTACCCATTACGGTAACCGACCCACGAATAGCCCCTAAAACAACGAATCCGCTGACCATTAACAATTACGGAACGTCACTGCTACCATCACCAAATACAGACATGACTTTTGTATCTACCGAAGAAGTGGAGGTGCCGGTAGGTGGGCCTATCTCCATGCCGCTTTTGACCGATGAGGAATCCGTCGGCAAGTCCATGCCCATATTAACGGACGATGTAACGGAAAGAACTGTGTCCTCAATAGAGTCTACGGCTGGGTCACCGTCTTCTGTTGACGTAAGGGAATCAGAAACGGAAGACAGTAGTCAGTGGTCACAGAGGCTCCTAACGCCCGGGTCCGACACGTCGGAAACATCTTCCGAAATCCCATTACAACCAGTCATAAAGCTTTCTGTGAATGATCTATCTCATAGCGATTAAAATCGAGCTATCCAATAATATATCATTATTATCATGTATGATGTAATGCCGTGCATTATTTTATTTTTACGACGGTACGATTTTCGCGAAACTTATTTATTAATTACGCATAATCGTTTTTAAATGTTACAAGAATGTGCAATAGGTTAAGTTATACTGTTATCATTTTGAAGCACACGATCGTATCTATTTATAACTATGTTATACCTAACTCATAGGGGAGCGATTTTATAATGGACTATTTTGTTGCTGATATAATTTGTACTGTTGCGTCTCCCATACTCAGGCTAGGCTGCACGTTCTAAACGTGCAATAGAATTTCGAAATGTTGTGTACATATATATGTCTATACAGCAATGTTAAATAAACGCATCGATCTTAAATGACACATTCAGTCTGATGTCATCAAGAAAGTAAATTTAATGCATAGGGCATAGTAGTATTAGGTTAAGAATTTATTAATGTAAATTTAAATTGAATTATGATATTGTTGGATCGTATGTGTAATATATGAAAGTTTAGGCATATTGTAATATTTTTTATAACATTTAGCAAACATTGAGATATTATGATTATGTGTACAATTACACAGGTTTGTACATGAAATAAAATTGTGCTACTACATTAAGTATCGGCATTTTATATGTTCAGTTGTGGTTTGGCAGTTTTTTGTCATTTAAACTTTACTTCAGTTGTCTGAATTAAGCTGAATGTAACATTATATCAATATGTAGTTTTATTGTAAGTACAATATTGTTGAAGTAATATGTCAAAGGCACATAAAGGTTTGAGTTCGGTTGATCTATGTTGGAAAATAGGTCACATAATGAGAAAGGAGTCTTAGTAATAACTTCTGTGTAGCTGAAAGTTTTAATAAAGAAACTTTATTCAATATAATCTTTTTATTTCCTTTTAATAACCTATATCTATATGAAATGAAACAAAAGTTTTGCGTCTAACAATCCATGTTGTTATTAACTAAATGTAAAATATGGATGGATAATTTCAGTGTATTCATGTCTTACATTCGGGACTGTTTCATACTGTACAATGTTCATAACGCTTTATTAAATTACTTAAAAAGAAAAATGCTATAAGTATAGTATTATTCTAAACACTAAATAACTACAAACTACGGTAACAATATTTCAATCATAAATTCGTTATAATATGTTAAACAGTTGTATGTAACAACGAAATTGCAATGATCACTTAAAATTATAATACTTTATGAAATAAAAACTTGAAACTCTGTTTCTGTGTTTTTGATAAATTCAAATAAGTTACAACAATTTAATTACAGTCACTTGAATTAATTCGAAGTAGCGTTTGTGCTTTTGTTTATTGCATAAATTAGAAACATTTTTATTTTATATATTGTACACTTAAATATTACGATCTATCCGCAAATTTTGCTCAATGATGACGATGATAATTACAACAAAGTATTTATGTATATGGAATCTTTAATTTAAATTCAAAGAGCAAAAAATCGTGTATAATTCCATTTTAATAATGTTCCACTCGAGTACTATGTTAAGTATCACGTACTTAATTTTTTGCTTTTATAAGCTAGTACTGGAGTAAAATCCCACGGGTGGTACCTGGTGACGCAGCCGAAGACGGTAAGACGCACCGACTTAGTTTAATAAATTATAATCTATGTAAAAAATATATAAAACGACAATATTGCCAATATAATCTGTGCGATGGCGTATTCAAAATATTTAGACTTGTTTATGGAAAAATGGCGATGCGATTTATTTTTATTGGATAACATCTACTGCAGAGCTTGTCTGGTGGTGTTGGGCAGGAAGAGGCACATGAGGCCGCCGCCGGCGAGCAGCACGGCCACGATGAAGGTGGGCGCGGGGCAGTAGGTGTCGAGCAGCGCCGCGATCACCACGTTGCCCACGATGCCGCCCAGCCGCGCCGCCACCATCGACACGGCCACGCCCGTCGCGCTGAAACACAATTATTACAATTACGAATAAATTTGTGGCAGAGCCATGCTGCAGCTATATTATTGGTCAGCTCGACCGGGGAAAGCCCACGCTCTCATAGAATACCAGCGTAAAATATCAGCTCAATACCGCTGTTTCGTGTGGTGAGTGTAGAGATCCGGAGACCCTTTTTTACTGGAAACTAGGCAGTCCATCTTAGTCCTCAAGGGTGTCTATGGGCCACAGCATCCACTTATCGTCAGGTGGACTGTGTGCTCATTTGTCACCCTTATTCTATAAAAAAGAAACCACCAACTGAGTCCGCAGTGGACCCTATGGAACCGATTAGTACAGGATTAATATTGGGCTTGTATATAATATGATGGCACCGTAGAGTAATAGCTTAGCAATGAGTAGCAGCGCTGAAGACCACTGGTTCGAATCCCGCACGGAACGGGTCTTTGTATGGCCTACAAATAATTTTTTCGGGTCTAGATGTTTGTCTTTGTGAAATTTGTATATGTAAACTGAAACCACGATACAGAAGAAAATTTTAGTGTGGAAGTTACTTTTATTTGAAGTGAAAACATTAGTTATTGGTTGCAGTAATCGAAGATAAATGTAGATGTCTATGGGCCGCAGCAACCCCTTACCATCAGGTGGACTGTGTGCTCGTTTGTCATTCTATCCTATAAAAAAAAAACACTTCTTCTAGCGATGCTCCCATCTCTTTAATCGGTCCAAATAGTACTCGGCGTTTTTCTCCGCAAAATAATTGTCCACGAAGGTGATTGCCTCCTCATTTGACGAAAATCTCTGTCCTTCGAGCGAAATTTTTAGATGAGGGAACAAAAAGAAGTCGCTTGGGGCTAGATCTGGTTCAAACCGTAATTCATGGATTTTTGCCATGGCTACCACTGAGGTGTGAGACGGCGCGTTGTCATGGTGAAGCAGGATTTTTTTTTGCAAATGTGGCCGTTTTTCCACAATTTCTGCCTTCAGCTTATCAAGTAATGATGCGTAGTATGCTTCTGTAATGTTTTCCTTCTTGAACATAATCGATTAAGAATTACTTTCCTAGCTGAAAAAACAGTTATTGTTTTTTTTTTTGGAGCCGGTTCCACCTTTGCAGTCCACTGTTTTGACTATTTTTGTTTCGGGCGTAGATTCAAGTTTCATCTACAGTAATTAATCGGCGCTTGGATTTATTGCGCCTAAACTGCGCCAACGGAGTATTGGAAATTTTCATTCGAGCACGTTTTTGGTCTAAAGAGATCAAACGCGGCACCCAACGCACTGACAGCTTTCTCATGCCTAAATCTTTATTTAATACTAGCTTTTTACCCGCGGCTTCGCTCGCGTGGGCTTGAATTTAGAAACATCGGTAATACTATTTCGTACTAAAATTAGCAAAACTGGATCACTTGTAGACACGTCGGTATCTGTGTATTGGCAATATTATATGCTACAGAAACACAGGAGTTAGTTTATCAGAATCGCATAAATATCATACGTCAAGCAACACTTTTTTTATATCGGGCTACCGATGTGTCTTTATTTATGGAAAATTGTCTTGGAATCGGAAATGCGTTATTTACATAATATAATATAAAGTTTAATTAACATAGTATAAAATAAAGTTTAATTTCATGGTCGTTATTAATATTGGTGCCATTGAATATTGACTAGCACTACATGCCAGTATTTTTTTACGTTCGAGTAGACTTCAAAATTTCATAAATGTAGTTCTATTCACATAGAACGTGCGAGAAGAATTAAATTCATGAACAGGAGTAGAAATCTACATAAGATTGGCAGCAGTGTCTTCCTGATCATAGCTTAAAATATTTAAAATATTCAGTTAGCAACTCGCATGCCCAGCGTGGCTACTCTAGCAAATATCCAACTTTATTAACTATTAGAAATCCAATTGATGAACGGGAGTAGAAATAATATATAGCTATGTAGAGGTGGCGAAAAAGAAACCAATAGCCAATTTCGTCCCGTGGGTGTCTTAAGAGGCGACAGAGGGAAATTGAAACTGGAGATGGGTAGCATCTTCTTGATAACAGCGCAAAGTACTAAAGAGCTGCGGTTGCCAAGATTGCCAAGCGTGAATACTACTGCAAATACCCGGTCTATTTGTCATACAATAGGGGAAGCCTATGATCAGCAGTGGGAAGCACTATTAAAAATAAAAAGGTAGGAGCCTAAATACATTCCACTACTGGGCACAGGCCACAGCGAGTTTTAGGTCAAAAAGGAGTTGATTAAGTTGAATCCAACGCTGGATGACCGACTTCATATACCTATACCTAAAAATGATTTCCGAAATATTTTTTTTCATCTCAGATATGCGGATTTCCTGCGATGTTTTACTTAACCACCGAGAACGTGGTAAATCGAAACTTCAAATTGCAGTTAAAATATGAGTGCAGTCAGCGCGGATCTAATTTGAGTTGCTTACGTACCAACTATGAAATTTACGTTTTAGATCGGTTTGATTACAGGCTTATACAGATGACTTTCAAGATTCTATCAGTGCAGTTCTAATCATAGTTATATTAAAATTAAAATAAACCCGTGTTCAAAATTTGCTTTCTTTGGTATTTATAGTACTTTTTCATAAGAACCTGTTCATTTACTCATGTGAGCTATGCAACCGGGACTGTCACAAAAATTTTAATAGATAGTTATGTCTGAAAATATGAAAGCTATCTTAATATATGACAAACTGCTTTATAAATCTCATTAAAAGTAAAAAAGGCTGCATCAACGGTATCACGAACTATTCCACCAACTATGGAGTAAAGTATAAATCTCATAGTGCATTTAATTTTCAATTCCTTATACCGGACTTGATACAAAAAGAAATTGGTGAAATATTGCTATGCCCATAGACACACAACATATTCAACTAAAGAACTTCTCTCTTCATCAAAGTTTTATATACATAGTTTTGTTAGTAATTTTGCTAAAATTCACAATTATCATAAAACATGCAGACAGTGGCCACAGGTCTACACCGGTCTGACAATTTTTTATTCTGCAACAATA